CTGTGCTGTGTGGTTGAAGACAGGAATGTACAAGATGAACACCTGATACAATGGTCTCTGTGGTAGGAGCATTTCTCTGAGCAATTAATTGCAAAATATGGAGTGGTTAAGGTGTGAATTTCTTACTTACAGAGGAAATATTGCCTAAGTGAACATTACTTGGAGAAATTTTCCCTGCACAAACACTGATATGGTTCCATTTTGGTTTTGATAGACAAAATTCTTTTTTAAAAGAGCACTCTACTGTCTAGAGTTCTTCTCAGCATTAAAGTAAATACATGTGAAATGATTATACAATACACAGATCCATGAGCACAGTTGTGTTTGTGAAACCCTTTTCTACGCACACACATCAAGTCAATACTTTTCATATTAAAGGGGGTACGTTTGAAGTGAGTGAATATAACCTGATTATTTTCCTTCCAAAGCCAAAGCTGGCTCTTGCCGATAAGACTGCTCTATTAAATGGCTTGGGAGAAGTTGCTGTGTGCAGAACTACTTAACTGAATGTAACAAGCAAAGATAGAGCATCTTATTTACTGGAAACTTCAGAAATATCCCCATGCCCCTAGGGAAAGGGTGGTGGAGAATGTTGTCTTTGTTCCTGCTAGAGTCCTGCATGAGGTGACTTGTAAGCAGGAAAATTCAGAAATAGGTGTGTTTTCTCCTTGTGCAGCCACTGTCTCTTCTGGTGGTCCTGCACTGTAATCTCCATGCCCTGGAAACATCCTGTCAGTTTATTCCTGTCTAGAAAAAGGGCAATTATTGCAAGCTTTAACTGTCCTAAGTGGTGAAAGTGAGTAACAGCCCCTGAAACTCTCTACTTCTAGTACTTGCAGGAGGTGAAATTCAATGTCAGAGTATTTCAAGTAACTGCTCCTCTTCATTTTTTGGATTTTGGCAGTTTAGTGTCCCAAACAAGCTTGTTTTTGAATCTAGCAAAAGAGGAAAAGCTTTTGACAGTGTACTGTTGTGTCTCCTTGGTGGATAGATCACTTGGTTTCTAATCACGAGGGTTTGCAATTATGCTTGTTCTCATTCTAAGAACTAAAGGAAGGAAGGTGAGTGTTAGGCTGGAGTCCTGCTCTGGGAGGTTGATGAGGTTCTCAGCATCTCCATATGGAGAGAAAAGCAACAGTAAATTAAACTGGTCATGTAGGTGAAAGGTGTTTAAGAAGGCAGTCTGAGTAGAAGAGTCTAGCAGTTCTTTGCTTACAGCAGTGTTTGTGAGGAAAGGAGGATGTATCTGATTATGGCACCTCCAAATAAGTGGTAACCTTAGTATATCACTGTAGTACTTCAGCCATTTGGATCTGTGTGTGTTGGAGATGTTTCTTGCATTACAAGTTAGTGTGTTGAGTTCATGAAGTGGTTTTTACTCTTGTAAGAGCAATGTAGTGGTAGATACCATTCAGTGCAACGTAGTTCTTCCCAAAGACCTCTGCGTTTTTGCATCTGCCTGCTGTACAGTAGTTAGCAACTGGGAAGCCAGGTGAATTTTATCAAAGAGAAAAGAGCTTTCTTCAACACTTGTGATTTTGTTCCTGTTGACTGGGGTAATTACAGAGTTAGCTACTGAAGCCTGAGCATACAGAGTGGTTACTGTATGTAGATTGTAATGGCATGGGGGCAGTTATCCAATGCCAGTGGCTGTGTGAGGTCAGAGTGAAAACCTAGTGTAAAAATATATCACACATGTTTACCAAGTGTAAAATTTTCCTCATGGTTTTCCAAGAACAAATTATTCGAAAAAGGTGCAGAGGAGGGAGACCACTCCCAGCCTACTTCATTATTTTAGCAGTTTCTAATCAGTTACAGAGAGAACTTTTTCACTGAAGATTCTTACATATGACAGCTTTGTTTCTCCCTAGTTAGGTCACTTGGATTCAGATGAGGTGAAGAGATCTTGTTACTATGCGTTCTGAATTTTTCTTCTTCTGCTGGAGGTGTATTAAAGTTCGGTAGAAGGACCATTTATGGTGGAAAAGGTTTTCTTTTTTAAAGACATCAGGAAGGATATTTCTATCACATTGAATACTTTTTAAAAAGTACCAGAAAAGTTAACTCAAAAATTGGAAAAGGTTGCTAACAGGTCTCTAATAATGAAGTTGTTTAACTCTCCTTTTTGGTTTCAGCAGATAGAAATGTAATGCAAAATTTTATAGAGAATGAATCTAGTTATAGCTGTTAGAGGTTGATAAATGTAGCAGGGGGAGCATGTTTTTCTGTGCAGGGATTTTCCTGTTTGTGCAGTGGGTAAGCAGGAGTGTGTGCTGCTCTGGGGGCCTCCAGCCCTACATACTTAGCAGATGTTTTGTTGTGTTGACCTCCAGGAGCCTGTTGAGTCAGCGAAACAAGGGACTCTCAGCTCTTTGGCTGTGTGCTGCAGTGACATAATGCCTTTCATTAATAAATTCCATATCCAGCTTTTGTTTGTGAATACCCCTCAGGAGAAGAAGAGCAGTACAAAAGGCTGAGGGAACGACTGTGACTGATGCCAAGTTCATAGCCTGACTGTACAGCTACAACAGAGAGCACAGGGTTTGTTTTGATGTGTGCTGGGGGTTTGTTATTCACTCTGCATGGCTCACCCTTTGGCAGAGACAGACAAGAAAAAGATGGATTGGACTGACATTTACCCTGCTTGAGGTGACGTTTCTTTTTTT